GTGCATGTGAAATGATTCTGTCAAATAGGAGTGGCAGTGGATTATGTGGCAAATCAACAATGGCTCTGCCTATGAAATAATCCATGCCAGACTTGGGTTTTGAAAAGTTTGTGCGAGATGGGTCCCCAAACAACTCACAGCAGTGCATGAACAGAAGTGTTTAGACATCTGCAAACAAAATTTGGACCAATACTCAAAGGAAAGTATAAGTTTCTTTTTACAAAAAAAAAAAAAAAAATCATTACTGGTGACAAGACGTGGATTCATCACTACAAGCCTGAGAGTAAATGGCAGAGTATGGAATGGAAACATCTTCAATTGCAGATCAAGAAAAAGTTCAAAAGTCAGCCATCAGCTGGAAAATTAATGCTTACAGTTTTCTGGGATCCTCAAGGACCAGTATTGGAGCACTATCAGGAAAAAGTTTCAATAATCAACAGTACTCATTACAGTGAGATGGCTCACTGAAAGAGCTGAAGCCTACACTTCGGATTAAATGCAAAGGTTAATGCATGACAATGCACGTCTGCACATCTCTGCCCACACTGTTGACACTGCAAAAACTTCATTTTGTGGTGTTAAAGCATCCTCCCTATAGTCCTGATCTTGCTCCATTGGACTTTCACTGTTTGATCCTCTGAAAGCAGCCCTTCAAGGACAAAGAATCACCTCTGATGAAGACAGCAGTGCATTCGTGGCTCACAGCTCAGCCTAAACCATTTAATAGGAGAATGTGAAAGTTTGTTGACAGGTGGACAAAGTGTATTGAAGAGCAAGGATATTATGTCGGATGTATTTTCTAAAAAGATTAAAATAAATTCTCCAGCCAGAGTGTGGATAATTTTTGACTCATCTCATATAAGGAAAATCAGCCCTCAAATTCTACTCTGAGCTTTTATTTTGGCTTTATATTTGGTTTTCATTTTTTCATTCAAAAGGTGACCAGTTTCATTTATCTTTGATGACTATCAGGGTTTATATCTTTAGGGTTTGTGTTATGTTTAGAAAGGCCTTCCCCACTCAAATGTTATAAAAACTATTTTCTAATACTGTAATTTATGTATATATTCTTGGTGTGGTGCTCTAGAATAAGCACCACTGGACCACAAGGTCAGTTTCAATCACAAGCTCAGTGATTCAAGCCTACCAGCTACTTCTTAGAAACCCTATGATTCAGAACACCCTTGTCTCGTTTGTTCACTGCGGTACCATCAGCATTTAGTGAAGTACCTGGCATCTATTAGACATGAAAGAAATTTGTAAGATGTAAGCCCTGGGGTAGCACTGTAGGGTAAGTACTGGACTGGGAATTGCAATGTTGGCAGTTCAAAGCCACCATCTGTTCTCTGAAACTATATATAGTGTCACTATGAGTTGGCACTGACTTGACAGCACTTAACAACATGGAGAAGTGAAGAGATTTGGCTTCCTTTTCCAGTTGCCAGCCAAACATAGTCATTGTAGTCCCAATATGATTCTTTTCTTGACTGATTTAAAATTTTACTTTTGGCATATACTAAATTGCCTTGTGGAGTTCTGGTATGGATCAGTACCAGACTGCTCAGTGAAAGGCTGGTGGTTCAAACCCATCAGCCACTCCTTGACGTCACTTAACAACAAATCCCCTTGTGTGCTTGGGTATATTCCTGGACTCTATGTCATATTATCTGTCTAGTCTTGCACAACTGTTTTACTTGCTGTTCAAAACTATTCTAAAACTTCCTCAACTTTTCACTCTTTTCTGTTTATTCTGAATGGATGATATTTGAAAGGCAAGAAGGAAAGACGCTTTACAGACTAGTAAAATACCTTGAACAGGAACTTAAAAAAAGGAGCTAAGAATTATTAACTTGGCCTTGAAACATGTCATAAAAATTCTCATAATTTTAAATTAATTATAAATTTACCCTGTGACATAAATATGTCATACAATTAATAGGTAATAAATAACATATAGCAATTTTTGTTAAACGTGACAGCACACATGATATTAGAAACCTTTGGATTTCTGTTCATCCTGCAAACAGAAGATAGGCAAAAGGTCTCTCCAATTCTCATTCTCTCTGAAGACTGAGCCTTCTGGGATACTGTTGGGCCACAAGAAACCTCGGACCCTAATCACAGGGCACCTCCTCTGAGTTCAGGATGGTCAAGTCTCTACCTAGAGCCCACTCATTAAAGGAAAGTCTAAAGATTTGGACTCATTTAAATTGACATTGTTATTCTCGAGTCTTATTCTCCAGTGCTAAATGAATGTCTTGAGGTTTTACTGGCCTGCCTTGCCATAGACTTCCTCACAACAAAGTAAACAAGTTTATGCAAGACAAACCTGAACAATTATCCAGGTATTTCTAGGAATATGTACTGCGGATATGTACAGGGACAGATACCAGGTCATTTGTAGAGAACAATTTCACACATCTTTCACCGCATCAAAGATTTTTACTTCTAAGTATGGCTGACATCTCTCTCCCAACTCCACAGCAGCCTTCTACAGAATTAAACTCTCTTCTCAAATCCCTGATACATTACCAACAAGCAAGGTAATACATTTACTAATCTGTGGTGAACAATTTCACATGTGTTTGACCACACCTATACAGCCTCGGAAACCCTGTACAGGGTCACCATGGGTCGGAATCGACTCGACAGCACTTAACAACAACTTCTAGTAAGTAAGCACAAATAAGCCAGTATTTACCTTAGTGGTTATGTGTTGTGGAGCCCATTCTGATGCACAGTGACCCTATGTAGAGTTCCGAGGCTGTAAATCTTTATGGGAGCCTCATCTTTCTACCACAGTGCCGGTAGTAGATTGAACTGCTGATCTTGAGGTTAGCAGCCCAACTCATAATACACCATGCTACCAGGACTCCTTGGTATTTACCTTACTTATTGGGTAATCCGCTCTTGGTATCCTTAGGATACCAAAAGAAAGGATGTGTGTTCAATTATTGCAGTATTTGAAAAATCAAGACTGTAAACAATTTAAGTGATCATCAGTGGGATGATGGTTGCTTTGTTCAAGTGCCATCGTGTCGGTTCCAACTCATAACAATCCCGTCCAAGGATTCCAAGGCTTTAAGTCTTCACAGGAGTAGAAAGCCTCCGTTTTTGCCCACGAAGCAATTGGACTGACCAGCTCGAACCGTGGACTTTGTGGTCTGCAGTTCAGTGCTTATTTATGGGGTCACCGCGCTCCCATCAATGGGGTTGTGTTTTTGTTAACTGTCTTCGTATCAATTCCAAGTCACAGCGACCCTGTATAAGGTTTCCAAGGAACAGCTGGTGGATTTGAGCCGCCTACCTTGTGGTTCACAGTCTAGTGCTTATCCTACAGCATTACACCAGGAATCAAATCAACGGGGTAGTTAACTAATAAATTCTGGCACATTTGCACAACGGTTTCTGACTTGTAGGGACCTGTATAGGGGTTCCGAGGAGGGTTGGTTCCCTTGGAACCAACCTTGAGGTTCAAATCGACCTTGCAGTCCAGTGCTTTATCCCACAGCGCCACACCAAGACCCCATCAAGATCTATTGATGGTGCTAAGTGCCATCGAGTCGATTCTGACTCATAGCTATCCTTTATAGTGTGTCGGAGGAGCGACTGGTGAATTTGAACCACCGACCTTGCGGTTCAAATCGACCTTGCAGTCCAGTGCTTTATCCCACAGCGCCACACCAGGACTCCTCCCTTTGTGCAGGCGGTAAAAAAGAGGGCAACATCTGTGCAATCCATCTACAGAAGAAAGGATACACACCCCACGAAAATGTTAAGTGAGTTTGAACCGCTGATCTTGTGGTTCAAACCGACCTCGTAGTTCAGCGCACTAACCCACAGCGCCACACACGAAAAGTAGGGGTTGCCAAAACCAGATTCTAGAGAACATTTATGAAACTTAGGATAGTATGAATGCATTACTTATTAAAACATTTAACTGGGGAAAAAAATCTTGGGGGAAGGGATTTTCCCTCCTTAATCAAAAAAAAACACACCTGCAATCTCCCGCATCCTGATCAGCCCATGATTCTAGGGGCAATGCGTACATTTAAAAAGCCCACACAGAAAAAAATACCAATGTGGTCAGCGCACGCAGGCACAATTGCTAACCGTAATTACTATAGGAGTTTTTTCTGTGTGGACTTTTTTCTGCACAGTTACCGGTCCTTCTCGAGCTAGGGCTGAGGCTGGTACCCCGGCAGTGATCACCGAGGCCAGGTTTCCTAGAGCGGCCCGGAAGGCTGAGAGCTGATTGGTCGCTTGAAGCCCAGCCTTTGTTAGGAGCCGCACAGAGAACGCCGGCTCGCGCACTTCTTCCTCTCTGCGTGTGGTGAGTCCCTCTTGGTTCCAGGGAGAAGAGAGGGGACCGGGAATAACTGCTGTGGTCAGCAGCAAGCCTTCTCTGCACGTGCCCGGTCGTGGGCACTGGTGACTCTCCCTGTGCCTACCCCCACTCGACAGATCTACGAGAGACTTGGCCGGCCTTTGGGAAGCCCCATTTGACCCCTTTCCGAGGTTGGCACCCAGAGCCCTCTACCCTTGAATCCTGAGGACACAAGCTGACCCCATGCATCTCAAGTGGACTGGAAGGGTCATTAACAAATCTTTTAATTCTTGGAGTTTATTTTGGTTTTACTAGTGCCAGCTGCTATACCAACGTTTTTTTTACATACTCTCATTTAATCTACACCACAGGCCTATGAGGCACATATCTTGAGAATATAATATTACAGGGTCTATAGGTCTAGTCTAGATAAGTGATTTGCTCTAAATCAGACTTTAGAGCTCACATTCAAGTCCATGCCTGATTTCAGTGTTATTTTTTGCAGCCTCCTATATGAGACTGTATTCTCTGGTTCCATTCTGTTAGCTCAGCTTCAGTTTGCTTTTATGTTTAAACAGCTTTTGTAATTTCTCTATGGTAATAGCTTTTTATGTCTTAAGAGTCTGTCTTAAGGCAAGATCCTAAGTGATTTTTTTTTTCTTGAATCAATCCCACATAGAGAGTTAATCTCTTGAACAATCAAGTCCAGGATGGCCATAGCCCTGGAATGTGAGGAGCAAAATGGACTTCTGATAGGGAAAGTAGAGGACCGTTACTTGGGACAGGACTCCATCTCAGGTAATAGCAGTCCTCACAGGAGGGAACTCTTCAGACAGCGCTTCAGGAAACTCTGCTATCAGGATTCACCTGGTCCCCGTGAAGCTCTTACTCAGCTCTGGGAGCTTTGCCGCCAGTGGCTGAGACCTGAGTGTCACACCAAGGAGCAGATTTTAGACCTGCTGGTGCTGGAGCAGTTCCTGAGAATTCTCCCTAAGGACCTGCAAGCATGGGTGCAGGCGCACCATCCAGAGACTGGAGAGGAGGCGGTGACTGTGCTGGAGGATCTGGAGAGAGAGCTTGATGAACCTGAAAAGCAGGTGGGAACAGGGTAATCATTTGGCTGTGAGAAATCAGGGTATAATGGACCCAGCGAAAGCAAAATGTCTAGGACGGAACACCTGAGAATACTTAGTATAGTTAGCCTAGAGAAGAACAGGAGTCCTGGTGTGGCACTGTGGGATCAGCACTGGACTGGCAAGGTCAGTGGCTCAAATCCACCAGCCTCCTCAGAAACCCTATTCAGGGTCACTAAGTCAGACCAAATCCATGGCACTTAACAACAGCAACAACAGAGAAGAACAATGCATAGGGAGGCATCTAACTATTGATGTGGAAACTAAAGTATGGTTGAGTGAAGAGAATAGACAGCTGAATGATTCTATGTCAGTTTAAAAGGCTAGGATCACTGGGAAAATACAAGAAGGCAGACAGGTGTTGAGGGGGAAGGAGAACTTTCTAGCATTTATGTTGCTAAGTGCCGTCGAGTCGGTTCCAACACAGACACCCTGTGTAGCGTTTCTAAGGAGTGACTGGTGGACTTGAACTGCCAATTGTGAGGTTAACAGCCCATTGCTTATCCTACAGCTCCACACCAGGACTACCCATAACTAAAATGGGCTACTATGTAATGTAATGAACTCCCTGTCCATAGAAGTATTCAAGCAGGGGTTCAAGTAGATGTCAAGGATATTACTGTACAGTATTGCCCGATAGAAATAAGATGTGAGCCTTAAACGGGAACTTCAAAAATTTCATGGAAAAATGGAAAGATAATGGAATTTTTCCACAAGCTTTTTGAACACCCCTCTTGAATATGTAATTTAAATATCCAAACTGGTGGCACTTAACAAGAAGAAGAAGCAGCAGTCACATTAAACAATAAAAACAGGTGACATTAATTTTAATACATTTTATTTAACCTAAAATGTTAATCATGTATTTTACATTCTGGTTTTTTTTTGTTTTTTTTTTTTTAAGTCTTTGAAATTTGATGTGTGCTTTACACACAGCATGTCTCAATTTTAAGTAGCCACACAGTAGTGGACAGCACAGTTACAGAAGTAATGCAATTATGTAATGGCATTTGAGCTAGATGCTTTTTAAGGTACCTTCCAAGTTCCTGGTGGCACAGTGGTTAAACGCTAGGCCGCTAACCAAAAGATCAGAAAAGGTGGGCAGTTCAAAACGACCAACCACTCTGTGGGAAACAGATGTGGCAGTCAGCTTCCATAAAGATTTACGACCTTGGAAACCCTATGGGGCAGGTCTACTCTGTCTTCCGATAGGGTCACTATGAGTCAGAGTCAACTTGACAACAGTGGGTTTGGTTTGGATTCCAAGTCCCAAGACTATGACCCTAGACCTCTATAGGCCAATGGGAGAGCTACTTGCCCTCTAGTATCCTGAGCTATAGAAGACTAGCATTTATTGCTAACTACAATTCAATGAGAATTTGTCCTCTTTTCTATGTCCCTTACAAATAATTCTTTTCACCTTTTCACAGAAATTTTCATTCCCATAAAATCTACCTTACAAGCCCAATCTTACCCTCATTGTTCCCAGGTTCCAGCCAATTCAGAAAGACAGGACATACTCTTGGACCAATTGGCCCCCTTTGGAAGGTCACATGAATCACTGACTATCCAGCTGCACCCCAAGAAGACCCAGCTGGAGCAGGAATCTCGGGAGCCCCAGAGGAATGGTAAGAAGCAACAGTCTGACAGGTGTAACAGAAGAGGTGGCTACTTAGATTAGAGATGTGCTTTTTCATTTTCATCTTTTCTTTTTAAAGTTTAGCTTGCTTGTCCTTCACCTCAGTATGAAGGATGTTACCTTCTTTCCTATGTTTGCTCTGTCACTAAAATCAGTTTGCTTTTCACTATAATAAAATCAGTGATCTGGCACAAGAAGTGGTAGAAGGGGTTGACATTGGTTTTTAAATACCCTTTCAAGTTATGTGTTGATTCTATGTCCAGATTCTCTTAAATTTCTATTTTGAAATGGGAGATTTTATGAACACCCTCATATTAAAGAAGCAGGAGAGAGTGTGAATCAGTCAGTGTAATAGGTTGGTCTGTTTGTGTTCATGGCAGGGTGACTCAGTTTAGATTGGCATTTGGTCTCTCATTCCATGACTCAGCTTACTGATTATAAACCAGTCACTGGTTCCCCATACCACTACTCATTACAAAACTAACTCAAATCTAGAAAAGCTAGATTTGATCTAGAAAGGGGAACAAAATCTAATTACAGAACTAATTCAAATCTAGAAAAGCTAGATTTGATCTAGAAAGGGGAAAAAATCTAATTACAGAACTAATTCAAATCTAGAAAAGCTAGATTTGATCTAGAAAGGGGAACAAAATCAAGAGGTGGAATATTAAGCAAGTATAAAATCAGCTGATCTGTGATTTGGGCACTGGGTGGATAATAGCGCCAGTAACTAAATTGGGAAAACCAGATGAGAGTGTGTCTTTGTGTGAAGATTTGAGAGAATCAATGTTTATACATATAAATCTGCCTTGGAAACAATCAAGTAAACTCCAACAGGCAATGCAGTTTGAAATAAGACTCGAGATTGAGGAGAGCATTGTGGGAGGAGTTAGAGTCATCTCTGGGTAAATGACTGAAGACCTGGTTATAGATGAGGCTCACTAGGAGGAAATCATACAGTAAAAAGTGCCACATGCAAATTTGTGAGGCGTGAGACCTTTAAATATTTGGAAGAGGGAAGAGGATTTTGTGAAGTCAATGGAGCAGGACTATTAAAGGTAGGAGAAACAGAAGAGGGTGGTGTCTCAAAGCCAACAGAGGAGTTTCAGCCAGGAGATAGCAGCAGTGATCAATGCTAGTTATAGAATCCACGACAAGAATTAAAACGAATCCACTGAATTTGGCATTTAGTAGCTAATCTTACCAAGTCTTTCCAAGAGCAGTTTCAGGGGAGCAGAAGCTATAAGGTACAGACCATTTTAATAAACTTAACTATGTAAAGGAATACCTCTTTCCTATGAGGAGGTATACAATAAATTTTTCTCCCAACCTTTGGGAGAAGCTAAGACATGCACTTAAAAAACACATCACAATAATAATTAATATGTCACATGCTAAGTTAATTCCACTATGTAGAATACAGAATTATTCTCAATAATGGCTTATGATGCAAATTTACAATTTTTCCCTCTGTTTCTCTATAAATACTTCTGGACTACTTTTACTTTGCTTTCTCTTAACTTTAAGGCCAGAAATATGCTGTTTCTGTTTCTACACTTGTAGAGGCTTGCACATTTGCTGCAGTCAAAACAACCTTCCAGGGTAATATTATGTTAAATATGAATTGATTTTTCTTAATCTAAGCCACGGTAAAATGCTTCAGGGAATCTGGCTCTCCTGAGATCTGAGAATTCTTAGGAAGTCCATTTTGTCTACACCAAACAGGATAAACATGACTTTTTCCTGAGGTATACCACCAGCAACCTTCTATAATTTTTTTGTCTGTATTTCCCACCATGACTAACTACCATCACCACATTCCCCACCCAAACAAAGAAACAAACCCTGCAAAAATACAACACATACATTTCAAGAAGTAACTATCAACCTAATTAAAGTATTTAATATCTGATCCAACCAATCACTTAACAGCTGAAATATACCCATAGTAGTTATAATGTGACCAAATTTCTCTAAGGAGTTAGACACATCACTGAGATTAGGATTTGAAACTGGGGTTTCTGCATGTTAGTTCAGAATTTTTTTTTTTAAACCATCATGATAATATACCAAATAGTCAATATCTTTTAAGAATATGTTTATTATTGAATAGAGGGACTGACTAGGTTTTTTTTATACAGGATTTCTTGTTTTAAAAGATTCATTGTATCTACACTAGAAAAGTGTGTTGTTGTTGTTGTTGTTGTTAAGTACCGTCAAGCCGGTTCCAACCCATAGCAACCCTGTATAGGGTTTCTGAGGAGCAGCTGATGAGCTTGAACCACCAACCTTGCAGTTCAAATGGCTTTGCAGTCTGGCGCATTAACCCACAACACCACACATGTCTCTCAGCTTGTCCTACTATGGTGGCTTGTGTGTTGCTGTGATGCTGGAAGCTATGCCACCAGAATTTTAAATATCAGCAGGCTCACTCAAAATGGACTGATATTAATGGAGGTTCCAGACTAATACTGACAAGGAAAAAGGAGAGATGGACTACTTCTGACTGTTTAGCCACTGAAAGCTTTATGAATAGCAGCAGAACATTGCTATATATAGTACCAGAATATTGTCAAATACAGTTCTGGAAGATGAGTTCCTCAGATTGGAAAGAACTCAAAATACGACTCGGGAAGAGCTGCCTTCTCAAAGTAGAATTGACAAGGATGACATGAATGGAATAAAGCTTTTGGGGCCTTCATTTGCTGATAGGGTACAACTCAAAATGAAGAGAAGCAGCTTCAAACATCTGGAACATGGAATGGTCAAAGTATGAATCTAGAAAAGCGGAAGTTGTCAAAAATGAAATGGAGCACATACTAGGCATTAATGAACTAAAGTGGACTGGTATTGGCCATGTTGAATCAACAATCATATGGTTTACAAGAAAGATAAAGAGGAGTAATGTCACATTTATCATTAAAAAAGAACATTTCAAGGTCTATCTTGAAGTACAATGCTGTCTATGATAGGAAATTACCCATACACTTACAAGGAAGACTAGTTTATACCACTATTATTCAATATTCTTTATACACCAACCACTCAAGTCAGTAAAGTTGAACAGTTCTACCAATTTGGCAAAGAACAAGGCTCCAAGAATTGATGGGATACAAATTGATATCTTTCAACAAATGGATATAACACTGCAGGCACTAAGGATCCATATCTGTGCCCATTCCAAAGAGAGGTGACCCATTGGAATGCAAAGATCATCAAACAATGTCATTAATATCACATGCAAGTAAAATTTTGCTGAAGATAATTCAAAAACAGCTAAAAAAGTACATCAACAGGGAACTACCAGAGGTTCAGGCCAGATTCAGACAAGGATGTGGAACAAAGGATATCAATACTGACATCAGATGAATCTTGGCTGAAAGCAGAGAATACCAGAAAGATGTTTACCTGTGCTTTATTGATTATGCAAAGACTGTCAACTGTGTGGATCATAACAAGCTATAGATAACATTATGAAGAATAGGTATCACGAAACAATTGTACTCTTGAGGAGTCTGTAGCTATACTAAGATTCAGTCATTCAAACAAAACAAGGGGATACTTTAAAACATCCCAAAGAACCAGCTGATAATCACCATCATAAAGTTCCACACAGTAGGACTGAAGGTTTCAAACCAGGAGAGCGAATTTCAAATGACATCATTATTTATGATGTTACTGATGATAATGCAGATGAAGAAAAAAAAAATCCCAATTTTCGAGAAACAAATGAAAAGATGTTATATCTGACCTCTCCAGTTGTAGCCAGTACCCTGATATTGTCATTGTTGAAGATGAATATGCACCTGTCATTCAGAGTGGAGATCAGAGAGAACCAGCCTGAGAATCCCTAAATTCAGGCAGTGACAGCACCAGCCCACTCATGTCTAGTGCTGCGCAGCTAACTGGCTCATCCAATCTGATCCAGAAGATCCTGTGATCATGATGGGTTCCATTTTGAATGATAACATCAATCTTTTGGGAAAGGTTGAGCTGTTGGATTACCTTGACAGTATTGATTGTAGTTTAGAGGACTTCCAGGCCATGCTGTCAGGGAGACAATTTAGCATAGACCCAGATTTCCTGGTTGATTGTTTCACTACTTCTGTGCAGATGAATACTACAGATTACATCAATAATACAAAATCAGAGAATAAACTACCAAGAACAATATAGTTCAGCCAGTTTCAGAGAAGAAAGAAAATCTAAACCCAAACCAGATAAGAAACTTATCCAATACACTGCCATTCCACTTCTTGCATTCCTTGATGGGAACCCTGCTTCTACTATTGAACAGGGGAGTACAACATTGTCAGAAGTTATGTCTTCTGTAGATAAACTCATAGAGGTTGATGAGCTTCTGAATAGCAGCCTGGATCCAGACTAATCCAAAGAAAGGCAAACTGTACATGAGTTGTTCTTGTTGTTGTTGTCAGGTGCCATCAAGTCGGAACCAACTGATAGTGACCCCATGCACAGCAGAACGAAACAATGTCCGATCCCAGGCCAACCTCACCACCACTGCCACACTTGAGTGCTCACTGTCTAATATAGTTCCAGCTTCATATGCATGGAAGAAAGAAGGGGTGGGATGGAGTCAGCCCCACCCAATTCAGTTGGACTAGTTATAAGTAAACATTGCTGGTTTGTTTGTGTTTTATTGAACTGATTCTATTTAGTAAATTAATATAATGAATGTTGAGTAAAAATTTTTTTTTATTTAAATTAAAAAATGGGTATGTCTATAACTGATTGGAAAACCTAAAATGGGGCTACAACGTGCCCATTGAAAGAGGCTTCCTG